TTCCCTCTAATTCATCCGGATAAGGCTCGAGATCCGAGAACCCACCGACGTCCTGGCTGCTGTCGCCGCCCCCGAAGATGGATTGGTAGGCTTGCGGTTGCGGTTGCGCGGACGGGGGAGGCGCGAAGCGCGGTGAGCTGGGGTAGTAGTTTGAGGAGGACATTGTTGCTGTGACCAGCGGCTTTGGCCTGTTCTTTGCTTTTTTTTTGGGGTTGTGTTATCTTGGTATAACACGCACCCCAAAACTTAGTCTGTGTTGCTGGGTGGGTGTTTCAGTTGTCGATGCGGTGGTGTGTGTGTGTATTTATGGTATGCGAGTCAACAATCTAGACCATGTAGTTGTATGCATGCATGCAGATCGGGTTTGAGGCACTTTGGCACGATAAAGGCATTGGGGCTGGCGGGGTTTTCTGGACCCTGGGGTTGGGCGATGGTTGTCTATAAATACGGGTATATTACTCCATGGCTTGGTCATCACTATCGTTAAAAAGTGGGTTGATAAGGTTTCGTTGAAGTTGAAGTCAAAAGATTTGAAAGATGCGCCAATGTGGGTGGAAAATGTTCGACATCACGTGATGCAATGCATGGGGCGTGGGATTGTTGAGTAGAGTAGGGTACTCAATGGATATACTCAGAATAGATGGGATTATTGGGCTCTGCAGTGCTCGTAAGTAGCTTAGATATCTGGTACTACAGAGTGTGCTGTGGTGTTGATCAGATCAGCAGCTATAGACCAGCTCATGGGACTATAGTTGCTGAGTGAAAGACACCTTAGGCTTTCAACTACGAAAAAGCATACCGCAAAACAGTACAATCCTATTACAACTCATGAAAATAAATTCTTATCAATAAAACATACTATGCAAGACGCCAAAGAGTCAAATGTCTCCAATACCCAGCAAGGATATCATTACACACAGGAACTAAACACTTTTTGATGCACACAACATCCATCTATTTCTGACCCGCCTTCTCCAGCTTTCTCCGCTTGGAGCGCAGCTTGGCCGCTTCCTCGTCCTTCTTCTTGTTCGAGTACATCATCTTCTCCAGCAACTTGCGCTTCTTCCGGCTCATCATCATCTTCTGGCGCTCGAGCTCCTCCTCCTCCTTGCGCTTCTTGGACGCGATCTTCTTGGTCTGCGACTTCTTCTTCGTCTCGCCGGTCGCGCCGGACGTGAAGGGGAGACCCGCCGCCTCGGCCTCCAGCTCCTTCTGGTGCTGGGAGCGGGCCGCTTCCTCCTCGTCCTCGGACTCGGAGGCGGCCTCGTTGTCGTCGAATCCGCCGAAGTCCTCGTCCTCCGCCTCCTCCTCGCTCTCGTCGCTTTCGTCGTCGGTGCCGGCGACGTCCATACCACCGTTGATATCGGACTCCTCGTCGCTCTCGGCCTCGGATTCCTCCTTCTCGCCCTCGGCGGCCTGCTCATCTCCAGCCTCCTCCATCTCCTCGTCGCTGTCCTCTTCCTCGGCAGCGGCGGCTTCGCCTTCCTCCTCCTGCTCAGCCAGGGAGGCGCGAGGGTCGTAGGCACCCTTGGTAGGCTTGACCCACGGGCTCAGGTGAGGGGGGAGGGTCTCGCCGGGTGCGTACAGATCAGGGCGGAGGAGCTTGCCCTCGTTGATGCAGTCCCAGACCCACTGGGGCTGGATGTAGGTTCTACCGGGGATGCGAGTACCCGGTCTGACCTTCTGGACGGCGCCCTCGGCGGAGGCGGCGGGAACGGCGGGAAGCGATTCTTGGGGAAGAGAAGGACGGTCGACGATCTGGTGAGTGATTCTCGTGTCGGTCTCGTCGTGTGTGAAGGCGCCGTCACCGAGCACAGCGTCCCAACCGATACGGGTGCAGCCGAACGAGCGGAGAATGAACTCCAGGGGTGCCTTGGGCGCCTCTCTGGAGATGTAGAAGACGAAGGGCGCAAACAGAGAGCCGGCCTCCTCGCCGCTCAGGTCGGGTTGGGGAAGGGTGTCGGCCTCGGGGGCGGCGGGCTCGAACTTGTCGATGGCGTCGGTCGCCTCTTCGGTCGCCTCAGCGGGTTGCTCCTCCGTGGTTTGGTCCAGACCAGCGCTCTTGATGACCTTGTCGACCTTGGCCTGCACGTCACGGGAAACCTCCTGGTTGGAAGACTTGCTGGCCTGCTTGCTGGCGTCGATAGCCTTGGGGGCCTCGCCCACCGAGCGTCCCTCGAGGGTGAAAGCCGCCAACTCGGCGCCGTTCTCGTCACTGCGGGTATCGAACTTGGGAGGGTATCTGAGACCGAGAGTGGAGTACAGGCGGTAGTTCACGAATCCTAGCAGGGTGGTGTAAAATTCGACGAAAGTGGCCATGATACGGTAATCGACATCGCCGTTGACACGCTGGACGAATCGGTAGGGCACCAGCCACATGATATCCTGTCCCTGAATGGTAGCCTGGTAGTAGATACCCTTAATCGAGAGGAAGGACTTCCGCAGGGAGTTAGTGGTGATGAGGTAGTGCTGGAACTCATGGCACAGGCGCTGGCACAGAGCGATGGTCTTGGGAGGAACGTGGGCGGAAGAGGGAAGGTTGGCGAAGAGGAAGAGCAAGGAAAGAGCATCGTCGAGGTCTCTCAGGGCGTCGATGAAAGTCGGGTAGCGCTCCTTGATGACATGGTCGAGGGTGAGTTTCGGCGCATGATTCTTCTCCAGGCGAGAAGCATCCCCGACTTCTCCACGGCCAAGGGAGCGGGCGATCTTCTTGGCAAGGGCCTTCTGTTCACGGAACTTGCGGAGAAGGGGTTCGTGCAGCAGATACTGGATATCCTTGGTGTAGTAGAAAGTGGTGTTGGGGGTCGAAGTCCTCGAGGCCTTCTTCTTGCTGCGAGGCTCACGGGGATAGATACCTGTCCGACGATAGAGTGGCAACGATCAGCATGTGAGACGACATAAGATAGAGATAGATCGAGATGATCTGTGCAGTATAATCGGAGGGAAGCCATACCCTTGAAGATACATAGTCGACGGAAGTCAGGCAGAGAGATCTGAAGTTTGCGCACAGCCTGCGTTCTGGTGATGTAGTTTTTGGCCTGGCCAGAGGTTCCTGCGTCTCAAGTCAGCGAGAAATCAATCGCATGAAGAGAGAGGATATGCGAACCCTTCTTCTTAATCTTAGCCATTTTTGCAATGGGGGGATTGGATCAAAAATCGAGGGGTGAGTGACTTGAAAGGAAGATCCGATAACCAGAAAAATGGTTGATAAGTTTTTTTTTTTCTTTTCTTTTTTGGAGCAGCGGCGCGGACGTGGTCCGTGCACGGCGGAAAAGGGAAATGCGCGGAGTTCCGCTTGGCACGTGAAGCCAACAACAACTGACACTAAACACCACCGGACATTATCTAGCTTCCAATCTGATCCCCCCCCCCCGCGCTGCTGTTATTCAATTGCATGCCACTTCCGGCATGCTCTGATTTCCTCCTCTGATACGAAACAGTATGGGGGTTGATCGCAGAAAAGCTGCCGTTTTCGGTGGTGCTTTTGCTCTGCGACTTCTGCTGCTGGTGTTGTTCCCTTCGCTCCCCGACTTGTTGACTGGCCGAGTTGAGGTCTCGACCCCGGTCACCAGCTTCAAACGACGTAAGTCTCTTGGACTGGAGATGTCTGCCCTGTGTGATGGAAAGCTAACCCCTTGCAGTACAAGAAGGTCTCTTTCTCTATACTCGCAATGTTTCCCCCTATGATGGAGGCGTCTTCCATCAGGTACGGACGGCATTCAAACAGACCAATGCGGATGAGATCGGGCTGACAATGTGAAGGCGCCACTTCTTCTTCCTATTTTCTCGCTGCTGCCCAGCTCCCCAGGCTTTTCCTTTCCGACGGTCGTGCTATACTCTCTGATCGATTTGATAAACGCAAACGCCCTGATCACAATTGCGGAGTCGGGGTGGGCAGTCTCGGGGCGATCGTACTCGGCGATACGGAAGCATATTAGGTGGGACGGGGTGACAATCGCAGCATGGTACGGAAACCACTAGGTAACGAGGTCACCTTCGGGGATATCATCATTGACTTTGTCAGGTTCTTGTTTAACCCCTTCACCATCGCAACATGTCTGGGCCGGTCCACCGCGGTCTTCACCTCGATCGGAATTCTGTACGCGCTTTCTAGTGCCGTCACCGGAAAGACCTTCAACTCGATGCTCGCTCTAGGCTTCGCCTCGTATCTGTCAATCTACCCGGCGTTACTCTACATCCCACTCATACTCCTGTGCTATGATCAGCGTGCGCAGACAGCCAAGACCTGCCCCAGCACTGCCGTTTTCGCTCTTCAGCACCTGGCAATTTTCGCCCTCAGTATTGCCGGCTTGCTTGGGATATCAGCTCTCCTGATTGGGGACTTTAGAGCGTTTGTTTCTGCTACATATGGGTTCCAGTTGCTTGTCCCGGACCTAACGCCCAATGTTGGTCTTTGGTGGTACTTCTTCATCGAGATCTTCGACTCCTTTCGCGAATTCTTCCTCGGAGTCTTTTGGCTCCACTTGGCCTCCTACATGGGCGGTCTTACGATACGGTTAAGAAGACAGCCTCTGTTCGTGCTGAGCGCCCTGCTGGGAATCTTTGCCGTCTTCAAGCCCTATCCCAGCATATCTGACGCCTCGCTGTACTTTGCACTTCTCCCGCTGTACCGACATCTATTCCCTTGTGAGTAGCCCATCCGCCGCGTGACTAGAATACACAACTAACAACCATCAGTAATGCGCTATACCTTCTTCGCCGTCTCGGCATTGCTCTACGCCACGCTCCTGGGACCGGCATTTTATCACCTATGGATCTACGCCGGCTCAGGCAACGCCAACTTCTTCTACGCCATCACTCTCGTCTGGAGCTTAGGGCTTTCCATCCTGCTAGCCGACACGATCTTCGCCGCGCTCCGCGACGAATGGGAGTACGACAACCCCGAAGTACGGGGCAAGGACGTGAAGCAAGTGTAAATTAATCTATCTTTGTCTTATACACAGTACAGTAGAAAAGCCAGCCCATCACTCTGTGGCCCATCACTGCCTCGCATACACCCTCGAGAGAATCCGATAATCGGGATCTTTGACTGTTCCATTCCTCAACCTCCGCGGCCGGGGCGAGCTCTCATCGATTCCGAACCCCAACCGCTCGTAGAACCGGATCGCCGCCCCATTCGCCCGGAAGACGGTCAACATGGCCTTGGCTATCCCCAGCCGCTCCCCGATCCGCAAGAACACCCGCATCAGCTGCGCCCCCAGCCCCTGCCGCTGCACGCTCGCCGCCAGATGCACCTCGTAGCAGTAGACCACCTCGAACCCGTCCTCGTACGTGACCATGAACGAGAGGAAGCCGAGCAGTTCCTCGTCCTCCTGCTCATTTTCGGGACTCGTCGCATCTGGCGATCCTGCATCTGCCTCCCGGGATTTGGGAGTGGCGCGCCGGAGAATCAGATACTTGATGTCGGGCAATCGCATCTCCTTACGTTTTTTGGTGGGTGACCAGCCGATTGAGGAGGCGCGGTAGGCGTCTGCTGAGGTGGTTTCGATTAGTTGGAAGCATTGCGTGAAGAGGGTCCCGGGCAGGGTTGCGGCGGTGTGGATTGTGATAGTGTAGTGCTGTTGCTGTTGCTGTTGCTGTTGCTGCTCCTCGGCGTTGAGCTGGTTGGTGATGTGGAGGTCATCTTTGGGGACGTAGAGGTTGATGAATTCGGCCAAGGGGAGGGCGTTGGTGCGTTCGACTAGTGGTTGCGTTGGTTGGGGTGGCGGGGCTGGGGATGTGGGTTAGTATGTTGGGGTTCCTAGGGGCTTGGGGTAAGCTTACTGGGTTGTTTTTGGGGTTCAAGTTGGGAGAGTTCATGTTGGGATTGTAGGGTTGGTGATGTTGATGTTGGCTGGGTGGGTTTGCGGGATGCGCGTCGGATTCCCCGCTTGCTGTTGGTGGGTGGTTTGGTTACTCGGTGGGAGGAGGTGGTGGAGGAGGTGGGCATTGTTTCTGAGTGGAAGAGTGGGTGTGTTTGTTATTTACAGGTCGATGCGGGGAGTTGAAGCCCAAGGGGGGTTGTTCTAAATAATGCTTCTTCAAATATGTGGGTTTGTTGTCGGGGTGGAGAGGATTTTTGTTTGGGTGCGTTCCGGATGTCTACTCTTGCTTGTGGTGGTTTGGTTCCGCTCGCATTTGCATGCATGAGTGCATTTTGATGCACGTCCAACCTATTGTCCTTCTGGAAGACAACTCATGTTGTTGCTAAGAATGAGTGAATCGGGTCGTTACACGTAGATTTTTTCGCTCGATAAATATAAGCCATCATAGGGGGTTACTGTCCGCGCCGCTATATATATCACAGACCTCCCCAAACTTACCGCAGGGGAGGAGCTCATGACTGCTGTCGTTGCTTCGCAGCAAACTCCTCCGCTCGCCTCTCGGTCTCCTCTGCACCAACCTCCTTGAAGACATCCAGGCCCCACTGGAACGGAAATCCGTACCGCAGGTGGCGATCCAGCCTGTTTAAAGTTTCGAAGATGTGCTCGGGAAGGATGACATCTGAAAGTCCGGTCAGTCACGCGGCGCATGGATGCGATGGAGATTCGCTTGCAACATAGTATATGGATACCGTACCCTGAAAATTGCTCTCAATCCGAGATGGTGTCACGCTCTTGGATAGCACGGCAGTACCACGTTGCACGGCCCAGGAGATCAGCAATGTGGCGGGGTCTTGGTTTAGCGAGCTGGCTAGCTGCTTGATGAAAGGGTCGTCGATGACACTATTTCAGGTCAGTAGATGATCGGGTTGGAACTCAGGTTCGATAATAAATACCGCGGAAGGCCGGCAAGGTTGTTGCCAAGAGGGCTGTATGCGATAGGTAGGATATCCTGTATTTAATCAGCGGTGCTCAATCCACATAACAAAAAGTCCTGCAAAGGATAGAAACCGTCTACCTTGTCCTTGAGATACTGAATCAACTCAGGCTGTAGCAGATAAGGATGCGCCTCAATCTGGCTGGCAGCTGGCGGGATCTCCGCGGTCTGAAGGAGCTCCTCGAGATGTTCCTGGGTGAAGTTGCTGACTCCGATACTGCGGACCTTGCCTGACTCAACGAGCTTCTCCATCGCCTTCCAGGTATCGCCGATAGGGACGTTGGCCAACTTGAAACGCTTGGTGACCGGATCAACAGGCTTCAGCTCTTCCCCAGCATACTCGAAAGCCACTGGCCAATGGATCTATCAACTCTTAGCAACGGTGCCAATGTTAGAGTGAGGAGGCCATCGTACCAAGTATAGATCCAGATAATCGGTCTGGAGGTCTTCCAGGGTCTTGTCGAGTTGCTCCTCCACATGCTCGGGGCGGTGGTGCGTGTTCCAGAGCTTGCTAGTTAACTGCTCGCCAGGGGATCAGTAAGAGTCAGATCCGGGTAAAGGTGGTTCGGGGACTGACGAAGATCTGCTCTCGAGGCACGCCCGATTTCTTCCAGCCCCTCCCGACCTCGTTCTCATTCCGGTAGACAGGGGCACCGTCGATATGACGGTATCCTGTTCGCAGAGCCACTTCGACTGCGTCTTCGACCTCATGGGGTTTGGACAGCTTGCACTTGTTAATAAGATTTCACTTGCGATGCTGAAGCTCTCAGCACGTACCCAGGTACCCAGGCCAACGGCGGGGATTTCGTAGCCGGAGTTGAGCTTGAAGGTACGTCCGAGGGACATCTTGTTCGTACGGAAGCTTTGTTGGATCTATGTAAAGTTTGTGATTTATACGTGGGCAAGAAGTGCAATATAAATCTATCTTGATCCTGGGGCGGATAAGACCGGAAGAAGCGGGCTAGAATGATTACAGTTAAGGCTGTTGACTACCCCTCCATCCTTTCTGACAAGTGCTTACCTCGTTATGAGACACTACTTTATTATGGTTTTCCATTGTCGATCCAATACGACGGTTGCGCAATTCTCATGGTGGAATATCGTTTATTTTTGACAATGACTTCCCAACAGTTGGTATAGGATGGAGAATATCCTCCCCGGTGCGCATGTTGATCATGACGGTGAGTCCTCGCTGTGAGGGGACCATGTCTTGAGGCTAAACGTTATTTCTCTCTATCAACAGTCCAGAATTTCCTGTGTGTGCAAGGAACAACGATGATGAATGTCGACCTCGAGCGATTGAAAATAAACTCAGCACAATGAACTTGGGCACGTTTGACCCACCAACCATGGCATAAGCAGCTGTTTCTGTTGCCCCGCCGGGTTGAACCGATTTCACTTCTGCCGCGATGCGCTGAGATATGTCGTTCTGATAAGGCTCAGGATGGCTGACATTCATCAAATATTATTCATCAACCCTGAATGAAGACTGTGAACGATCACAGGTCAGATGATTTCCTACAATGCATGGAACAGACAAGTCCTCGGCGTGGATGTTCGGTTGGCGGTTCGCGGGTGAAAGGGAAGAAAGGACGGCTGGAGTGGGGCAGAGATTCTTCAGCAGATTCACAACTGCCGGCTGCATCCCACCCACTCAATTTACTCAAACATTGTTATAAGGGCGCTGGAGTTCAGGTCATCGCTAGGAAGGTCATTGTATCCGTTTGCCAATCGCTCAAGCTCGAGAGCTTCAAGATGCATCTACAGTCAATATTCAGCACAGCTGGCTGACATTGTCGGACCAGCTCGGTGTTCTAGAAGAACCGGCGAAGCTGAACCATCTCCACTCTCCCGCGGTGTCTTGCAACCTTTGCCCAAGGCCTTTGCATGTTTATCAGCATGGAGAACAGCCTCGAAGACGCTATGAAGCCACTGATTCGTCCAATGGGTTGAATGTCTCCGTCTCGGACGGTTATCGGACCGTTATTGAAAGTTAATGCTTCAATTATGACTTATTAATCATACGGTTTGAGTTGTGGTGGAGCTCGCCCTCTTACGTCAATCATCAAGAGCTGTGTCTCCATATAACAGCTCCCCCACCAACCTATTTTGAAAATCAAAGCACTTCATTTCTTACAATCGACTTTGCTTGCTCAGCTCACTAGGCTTTCATCAGACAATATGGCCCCCTCGACTCACAAGCAGTGGACTGTCCAGAACAAAGAGGATGGTTTCAACGCCCTCAAATTCGCCGAAGCGCCTGTCCCCAAGGTCGGCGAGAATGAGGTCTTGGTGAAGTTTCACGCTGCCTCGCTCAACTACCGCGACCTGATCATTCCCCAGGTATGCCGTCATGATATGGGACCAGTCACTGCTTTTTGCTATCGTACCTTGAAACTAATGATCTGGACTGCTGCAGGGATCCTACCCTTTCGCTCTCAGCTTCCCAGTTGTGCCTGGCTCCGACGGTGCCGGTGAGGTGGTCGAAACTGGCTCCAAGGTCTCCCAGTTCAAGAAAGGAGACAAGGTGGTCACTCTCTTCAACCAGCTGCACCAGTACGATCCCATCGACTCCAGAGGCACCAGCTCCGGCCTTGGTGGAGTGATTGACGGCACCCTCCGTGAATATGGGGTCTTCAACGAGAACGGCCTTGTCCGAGCCCCCAGAAACTTGAACTACATCGAGTCCAGCACGCTCTCCTGCGCCGCGCTCACAAGCTGGAACGCTCTGTATGGTCTTAGACCTCTGCTGCCTGGACAAACCGTGTTGGTACAGGGAACTGGCGGTGTCAGCATGTTCGCATTGCAGGTAGGTAGTTCAGCCCGAGCATGACATCTCCCCAGCAAACTAATCACGGGGAATCTAGTTTGCCAAAGCTGCTGGTGCCACGGTCATTGCTACCACCTCATCGGACGAGAAGGCCAAGAAGTTGAAGCAGCTGGGCGCTGACCACATCATCAACTACAAGACCCAGCCCAACTGGGGTGAGGTTGCCCGCAGCCTCACTCCCGATAACGTTGGTGTCGATCACATTGTTGAGGTTGGCGGCAGCGGTACCCTGGAGCAGAGCTTCAAATGCATCAAGTTCGAGGGTGTGATCAGCATCATTGGATTTGTGGGAGGTGTCGACCCTGAGTCGCAGCCCCCGGTGCTCGCTACCTTGAGCAACATCTGCACGGTGCGCGGTATCTATGTCGGCAGTAAAGCCATGATGAACGATATGGTCAAGGCGATTGAGGCCAATGACATCCATCCGGTGGTGGACGAGCAGGTCTTCACTCTCGAGAAGACCAAGGAGGCCTATGAGTACATGGTAAGTTGGTTATCGATGATCTGACTGTGGTTGAATAGTCACTAATGAGAGGAACAGTGGGCGCAGAAGCACTTCGGCAAGTTGGCCATCAAGATCGAGTAAACGAAAGCCAAGCCAAAGACCATAAGTTATTGAGGAACGAGTGTATGAGTATAAAAGTACAGTACATAGACAATGACAGTGATTGTGTAATATAGTGATGAAATTATTGGCAATGGGATGCATTGATACCTTAAAGATAGAGTGGGAGGAGAAGCTCGAAGCCCATTGGGAGGGGGAAGGAGTTCCCCTCACCCGCGCGTGGCCACCTCATCATTACATCCAATGACTTTCTCCACCTTCGCTGCCTCCACAATTCACTCCCAACCCACTCAATCCTCCTTCCCCGATTCTCCCTCCATTCTCTTTCATGGATCCAGACATTATTAATCTTTGGAGTCACTGGAGACTATTTTCATGTTTGATTGTGATTTAGCCACGGTCTTCATTACTACCCCTTCTACCGCTTCAGCCGTCATAGTACCCGATGCAGTCCGATACCAGGTATAGATCGACTCTTCCTATCTGCGGGCCTGATCGCAAGTATATCAAGAAGTCCCAGGTTAAATTCACCCGGCCAGCCCAGATGAGTCTGTTCGCTCGAGTAACAAGCTATCCCCCCTTGGGTCAGATAACATGTCTCAAGAGCGCTGAGCCGGTAAGCCTACACCGGGAATAATATGATCAATGCTCGAGACATTAATGGGAAGATAGCTTCGCTTCACAGTAGTTCTCGAGTCCAGTACTACATTCCCTATCCAACCATGGGAGGTGCACGTATGGCACAATATCACTGCGAGCTCCGAATGGACAGCACTGCCGCTCCAGAGATGCGACTCCTCCGTCGCACCGCTCATCAACAGCAATGCAGAGGAGTACCACTACTTCCGCAACGTCTTCTCCGGGGAAATTGGCCCGCCTGAAAACCCGGGTCATGCTCAATTCACCGTGAGGTACCGGGTCAACTCCGATGCGGAATGGCAATGGGTCAACCAGCAGCAACACATCAGCGACGGAGAGCTTCTCTTCCCCGCCCAGACGCCAACCATTGACTTAGAAGAGCCGGCGCCGGCGACGGATTTCGCCAAGTACTTTAAGAGCCTCTCGTCGTATGTCGCGGTTCAGCCGCGCAGGAGCGAAGCGCCCGGGTCCAACCTCTGGCATGTCACGGGGCCGGTCACTGCCGCGCTCGAGGGACAGTCGGGCCTCACGAACCTGTCGCTCGGGGTGCCCGCTTCCGTGGTGCGGTATTTTGCCCTGGTGCGGATTTGGAGCCCGTGGCTGGGGCCGCGGCATGGGAAGGGGAGCTTCGCGTTGAGTGAAGATGCGATTCTATGTTCGTTTCTGCGGACGGATGGGGTGCATGTGGTTCTTTTGGCTGTGTCGGGGGTGGACGATGTCCTGACATTGTTTGAATCTGGAGAGGACGGGGCGGTGGTGGTCAAGGCTAAGAATGATAGCACACAAGCAGCCAGGTTCCAGATCCTGGCTGCAGCTGCGCATGATTTCGAGGTGGCGATGAGTGCTGTGGTCTACGAGGCTCGGAAGTTGACCCGGCCGTACGCCGAGCAGGCTGAATCCACCCGCGTGCCAACCCCGGTGTCTCCACCGGGGGATGATATCGTGGTGGTCGAGAAGGATAAGGATGTCAAAGCCCAGTGGCTTGCGGAATGGTACGATGGTCTGACGTACTGTACCTGGAACGGCCTGGGACAGGACCTGACGGAGGAGAAGATCCTCCGTGGGCTGGACTCGTTAAAATCGCACGGCATCAAGATAGCCAATCTGATCATCGATGATAACTGGCAGACATTAGATAAAGGTGACTCCCAGTTCACCCGAGGTTGGAAACAGTTTGAAGGAAACCCGGATGCTTTCCCCAAGGGCTTCAAGCAGACCATCCAGAAGATTCGGACCACCTATCCGAACATCCATCATATCGCAGTGTGGCATGCCATGCTGGGGTACTGGGGCGGCATCTCGCCCGACGGTGAACTGGCGAAGCTGTATAAGACCAAGAGAATAGAGATCACAGACCCAGCAGCGGGAGGCCCGATTGCGCACGCCTTCGAGCGGGGGTCGCTATTAGCCATCGACCCAGACGACATTCAAAGATTCTTCGACGACTTCTACAACTATCTCGCCTCGGTGGGCGTTGACTCGGTCAAGGCCGACGCGCAGTTCTTCCTCGACCTGATCAAGGACCCCGCTGACCGCAAGCGGTTCATGAATTCGTATCTCGATGCATGGTCCATCTCAACTCTGAAGCACTTCAGCACCCGGGCGATCTCGTGCATGTCGATGATCCCCCAGGCAATCTTCCACTCCCAGCTGCCGACCAACAAACCGACGATCCCGCTCCGCAACTCGGACGACTTCTTCCCCAACATCGAGTCCTCCCACCCGTGGCACGTATTCTGCAACGCCCACAACGCTCTGCTTACGAGGTACCTGAACGTCGTGCCGGACTGGGACATGTTCCAGACCAGCCACCCCTACGCGGGCTTCCACGCCGCCGCGCGCTGCGTCTCCGGCGGGCCCATCTACATCACCGACGAGCCGGGCAAGCACAACCTCGGCCTCATCGACCAGATGACCGCGCCGACCATCCACGGCGCGACCGTCATCCTCCGGCCTGGACTAGTCGGCCGCACGCTGGACGTCTACCAAGACTACAGCGAAGGCCACGTGCTGCGCGTCGGCACATACACGGGCTGGGCCCGCACCGGCAGCGGTATTTTGGGACTCTTCAACATCTCCAGCGCAGACAGAACCTCCATCATCCACCTCCGCGATTTCCCGGGCATCCACCCCGACTCGACGGGCGAATACATCGTCCGCGCCCACACCAGCGGCAAGATCGCCGAAACCCTGCAGGTCTCCGACGCGAAAGCCCTGGTCTCCGTCGAAGTCAAGCACAGGGGCTGGGAGATTCTGACCGCGTACCCGACGCACGCCTTCTCCCTGACCCCGCATAACACGTCTCAATCCTCAACCGCCGCAAACCCAACACCAACAACAACAACGAAAGTGGCCGTCCTCGGCCTTCTCGGCAAGATGACCGGCGCCGCCGCCCTCGCCAACTCGGACATCTACATCGAAAACAACGGCCGGCTCCGCGCGGACATCAGCCTCAAGGCGCTCGGCACATTGGGGGTGTATTTTTCGGATCTGCCAAGGTGGGATATCGATGGGAACTTCATGGTGACGATTCTGGGAAAGCCGGTGCCGCGGAAGACGGTGTGGAAGGTGGGGGCTGCGGAGGAGAGGGATCGAGGTGATGGTAATGAGGAGGGCGCAAGGGTTCTGGCGGTGGATGTGTTGGCGGCGTATAAGGAGATGGGGTTGCGGCCGGGTTGGAGTAATGAGGTTTTGGTCGAGATCTTTGTGCGGTGAGTAGCACTCATGAGTCTGGTTTCTTGATCAGATGGGAAGCGTGCATGTGTGGAAGTAGGCCTGGGTTTAGGGCTACTCACAGACGACCCAGAGGAAAGTCTAAGAAGTCCAAGCGGCTGTAGGAGGATGAGACGAGAAGAGAAATCATATTCATACCATTCTGACGCAGTCAAGTAAATAAATCGTAGTCATCATCATTAAGGAGCCCACGGGGCCTGCAAAGCAGAGCAGGTAATCACCACTTAAGTACCGAACCGCAGCCCGACAGAAACAAGAAGACCAACCATAACACATCCAGCACCCCCACCACTTCGAACCCAGACGGTCGTGCCCAAAATACCTCAATAATCACCCGTTGGAATAATCCCTCCCGCCAAAGGAACATGCTGCCCATGGAACCCGAACGCCACCGGCCCGTCGACCCTCGCCTTCCCCAGCACGGACAGATCTCGCGCATCCAGACACAGCAGATAACTCTTACCGGAATGTCCATCCAACACCACGCTCAGCAACACCCCGTCATCCTCGTTCGTGCCCTGCGGGTCCGCCACGAAGATCGGTTCCCCTGGGGAATGTGCATGCTGGGCCCAGATCTGCGGGGTCTCCGGGTGGTCGTTGTCGAGTTTCATGATGCAGTCGAAGAAGGTGGACTCGCCGCGGGCGCCGATGGAGTAGGTGTACCGGTTCTTGCGGGTGACGTAGCTGGGGTTGAGGGTGGGGAGTTCGGGGGAGATGGGTTTGCAGGTGGTGCGTTCGAGGATTGCTTTTTGTGGCTGAGGGTTGGGGGACGCGGGAGTGTAAGCGGGGATGAGCGGGAGCCGGAAGCGGGCGACGGTGGAGCGGGTGCTGTCGGTGCGGCCGGGGGCGCCCAGGCGGGCTTTGGCGGGGCTGATGTTGGAGAGCAGGTTCTCGTAGTACAGGGAGAAGAGGAAGTCGAGGTTGTCGAACATGACGAGGTCCGCGACGATGTCGACCCCCCCGGCGCTGTTGAAGGCAGACGGCTCCTGCCAGGCGTTGATGCTGTGGAAGCAGAAGAAGGGCGGGCCGGCGTAGCTGCCGACTAGGCCCTGGCTGCTCTGGCGGTCGATGACATACCACATTGAGGGCTTGGTGGGGTCGAAGGGTTCTATCGCGTCGAGAACGCTGTGGACGGGGGTGTCGAAGACCGAGACGTCCAGATGCGCGTTCCACACGCAGATGACCACGTAGTCTTCGGTGAGGAAGAGGGAGTGCAGGTAGGCGGGCGTGGCGGGGAAGGTGGCCAGGATCGTGGTCTCGCCGGTGGATGCTGAGGTGCGGAAAACGCGATACGTGGGTTCCGGGCTGTGTGTGAGGTTGTAGTTGAAGACGTCGCCGGTCTTGGGGTCTGAGCGGGCATGCGCGGCGGCCCTTTCGCCCGCCAGGTCGGGATGGAGGTTTTGCTGACGGGCGAGACCGATGGGCTCGAGGGTGACAGGGTCCAGCTGCTTGAAGATGTTGTAGTCGGTCTTGGCCCACAGGGTCTTGATCCCCGTGGATGTGTCCCAGCGGTCACTGGTCTCGGTCCCCAGGCCGGGCATGTTGACCGATAAAGTGACCCCAACGTTCACGGCGGCGGGGTGAGGGGGAGTAGACTGGCTGGCTGGCTCGTATTCGGTCTGAACCTTGTTGTAGACGGCTTTGCAGGGATCGCGCTTCTGCCCGAAGGTGGTCGGTTTCAGGCTCCCTGACTTGCGGGTTTCTTCGATCAGGCGGTCTACCGAGAAGCGAGAATTGTAGTAGACACGCAGGGGCTGGTCGGCGTCAGGGGCGACGAGCTGAAAGCGATGGGTTTGACTGTATCCATCGAACCAGTAGCTGAGTTCGACCGTCTCGCCCTGCTCAGTGTCAACTTTGTAACTTCCTGGCCCGGTGCGGTACAGCGTGCCAGCCGTGTAGGCAGGAATGATACCCTCCACTGGGAGTTCGACGGGGTCTTTGACTTCGTAATTGGCATCGAACTGGAATATCATCAGTCTCAACCGTTGGTTTCTAAGTAGGGACTCTTACGCCTTGAACGTTGGGCCAATTGTTGAAGTGGTCTTCGACCTGAGTGTTTTGGGTGGTGGTCATGTTTGCTTGGAGATTGCTCGAATAGATCGGATTGTTTAAGATATGCTTGTGCTAAGAAGCTGGAGCTGTTGAGGACCAAGTAAGCCGCATCTCCGCCGAAGGAGATGGGTTCTTATATATGCCTGGTGAAGGCGAAGAGGTGGAGGGATCCCGCCCATAGATTTGGTGGAGGAATCCCGGAAATAGGTTGGTTTGTGTAGTTATAGTTTACCCTGCTTACATCTCTTTGTAGTTGTGTTTGCATGCATCGGACCCCGGCGGGATTCCCCCACATTTTCCCCGCCACTGCTGACGCCGACATTTCCAACTCTCTTTCACCATCCACCACAACTGTGTTCTTGACTACTTTTTGCCAAGTAAGGCACCACAAGGTCTTACCGGTTTCAGTCAAGTCGAGTCGCCAGCCCTGTTCATTTACGTACATAGCTTCAGCATGACCGCACGATCCAGAGCCGCGGAGACACAAGATCCACCCACCAAATGGAGCTGCGCCTTCTGCGATGCAATCTTCCACCGAGTTGACCACTATAGGCGCCACATCACTTCTCGTACGGCTTCCTTGCCCTCTACCTTTAGCACAATGTAGTCCTTTGTTGACCGACAGCAGATAGCGCAGACAAACCGTATCAATGCTCCTTCTGCGCCTCTCGCTACAAACGAGGGTGAGTCCGCTTCTCTTACGAGTTTTCAGATCACCTCCCACTCGAACTTCCTGTTGACGAATGCAGGGACGTCCTTCGTCGTCACTGGAAAACCTGTCCCGCGCGCCACGAGGCCGGGTATGCGATCCCAGAGCCTCGAACGGGCGGCAAAGAACGACACGCATGCGATGCATGTGCGCGGCTGAAAAAGTCGTGTGACGGAGCCAAGCCATGCCTAGAGTGTGGGATTAAGGGGAGAGAGTGCACCTACCGGCGAGTTGATGAGGGTAATGAAGGGACGGTCGTTCAGAGCGAACGACTTCCAGAACCGCAGCTGGATTCCGGGTCCAGAGAGGATCCCGCCGCCCTGCCGTGGAGTTTAGGACCGGGGAGTTTTTACTCACTCCATGCTGCGAAAGAAAGTACCTATAGGTACTTGAAGTGATGCCTGGGGATCGTTAAATATCACGATTGCAGCAACGGGCGGATTGACGATACCCAAAACATGCATTGCAGAATGCGCATTACCCCGGGCACCCCAGGACGAGCTGTCACACGGAGTTAGGGCTTGCAACCCTGCCCAAGACGGCTTCAGGGAGGAGACTGATCCTGCCGGTGAATATGTCCTGCTGGCGGACCGGCTCGGACTGCGGCGAGGCAATTGGCCAGCCTGTTGCTGCCCACGAAAAGGGGTTTGAGGAGCAATGCCGAAAGCAGTACACGCTACGAAGTTAGGATCATAGCCGTGCAGCTTTGCAATGCTCTCAGTGACACACTCTGAGAGCCTGTGAGCAGCCTTGTGAGGAAAGCATCCAGGAGAAGGAGGAGTATGGATGGAGATGTGAAGTCGCCTCTCTCCGTTTCTCTTTTACATTCGAGGCACAGGTAGTGGCTCTCAAGCTAGTTCTTTTCGGAACTTATGAGGTAGGTGTTCTGAGAATTTCGGAAAAACTTTGCAAATGAAGTTATGGAATATGCTGCATGACCGGATAGAAGCCCCTTTCCCCTCAAAAGTGGTGACACCAGTCCCCATGCCGTGGTTTATGTTTCTACATAAGGCTTTCTCCAAACACATAATACTGATGCATTGCATACTCGAATAAAGGAGCTATTGTCTACGTGAAAGAGATGGAAGAATGCATTGGATGAAATCCAAATGAGCCTGGGTCTAGTTTACGCCATGAATATCAGAAGGTGAAAACAGCTCTCACCACAAAAGAAAAAAAAGATTTAATTCCACTGTTCCGCTCCTGCTGCAAGACTCAACAATAGACTAACTACACGACATAAAACAATTGGTCTGCCCCTGCGTCCCCAACGAGTCCAGATACGGGTCCGGCCGGCGCAGGTAATCCGCCAGGAAATTGGCGCAGTGGGCAACATGGCCCGAATCCGCTAGCATGGTATCCACCCGATCCCCCCGTTTGTAAACGTCATGGCCGCGCCGGAGCAGGTAGAGGCAGTGCACCAGATGCTCGCGGGTCACGGTGAAGTAGTACCCCTGCTCGTTGTTCCCCACCTCGGTGTAGTCCTTCATCGGGTGCTGCATCTCGTGGTCGTAGTAGTACTGGAAGGGCTTGCCGTCGTTGAAGGTTGCAAAGTCCTCGGAGTAGTCATGAGGGCAGTCCTTGTGCAGCCAGCATGCCGACAAAGGCTCGTACGAGCAGCCCAGACTGGTAGCCTCGGCGGTGGAGTTGCCGCAGGAGAGCGTGGTGTGGCGGCTCGTGGAGAAGCACTGTCGCTGGCCGTTGATGGTCGACGAGGACGACGAGAGCTTTACGACGAGGACCTGGCGGAACGGCTCGATGGTAATGGCCGCGATGACGGTGAGCACGAGCAGAACTAGGACCAGAAGAAGGCCCGAGATCGTGATGGCCGTCAGATTCCGCTTGAGGAATTGCTGGATCGGGTGCCGGCGGCGCGAGCCAGGCCCTATTATGGTGGTGATGGTGCCATCGTCGCTGTTCTCCGTCTTGGGAACGGGTTCGTAGTTGTGGTGGTGAGGGAAGATCTTGTCCATCGCCATTGATCCTTGTGATGCTACTGGAAGTACAGCATCTCACGACTTTCTACGCTTGCGGTCATTCAGCCAAGGCCTTCTTTGAGAGGTGTAGGGAACTGGTATCTATTTGTATCTGAGAGTGACATGGAGAAAATGACGAAGACAGGCCTCAATAAGCGTCGATGAGGATTGAGAATAGCGATCAATAGAGGGAGTGAAGACAAAGAGCACGGATCTTGGCAGCAGGAACTGGTTGAGCTTACCGAGATCGGACTGAGAGAATGGCACGCCTGCCTAATCGAGCCCGAACAAAGACACGGTGGACACACGCGGGAATTCCCGCGATCAACCTGAATCAATCTACTCTCTACTGTGTACTTGTCAAACCACCACTGCTTAGAACTTCATTATATACTATTGCGGACTTCTATTATCATCTGACAGCCATGACAAGGCTGCGGAACGCTCCACCTCTTCCACTCATGGGTTGTTGCCCGTCACGGCCCCCCATATATACGCAGCCCAACTGCCCAGCGTGAGCAGCAACAACGCTGTGAAACATCCGATCGAGATGCGTTTGCTCCGCTCGTAATGCTCGACGAGGTGGTGCTGCTGTAGCATCGCGAAGAACTCCGCGCCCAAAGCATGACGCTTCTTCCGTGACCATTGCAGAGGCGCTAGATCTCTACCCACATAGGATCCGATCAGGAGAACAATTGAGACGATGGCACAGCAGACCGCCAGGAAGAGATAGACCCGCACGGCGCGATGGTAGGAATCGTTATCGGCATCCTGGAGGGCACCAGTGATGATACCAATGATAATGGTCATGCTGAAAAAAAAAGGGTTAGAGGACATTCTGTTTTGGGGCACAATGAGAAACGTACGCATTGTTCATCGTCACTTTCAAAGAGTACGCAGACCCAAACACCGACTGATGCCAGAGAGTGGTACGGATACCATCGATGATGGAGGTTGGTCCCAGCGACACCGCGACGGCATAAATACCAAACGCCGCGGCAGTTCCCTGCTTTGCTGAGGCGTAGTTGACCAGGATCATGCTGATGAACATTCCAAGACCGCACACGCACACTATCACTTGTCTTAGTGGGAATCCCATGGCTAAATCCTGAAAGGGCTTGACTCACAGACTGAGGCTCGGTGACCGAGGATATCAATGAAAACGCCTAGGCAAGGAACAAGGAAGAAGCCTAAATAATATTAGCAGATTCCCTCTTAAGACCAAGTCAAACACATACCAGCATATTGAGCCAAAGCGCTGTACCAGCCCGCTTTGATGGCGTCGACATTGAACCTCTTCTCGGCCAATTCCGTCGCATTGGAGCTGAAGACGCTGGCGGTACTGGTTTGGAACATCGAAAAGGCCATCACGGCCCAGAACATCCAAGGCAACTGGAACATCTTCCGGATCTCGAACTTCTTATTCTTCTCCACCAATTCTTCCTGAGTCGCCTTGTCTTCGCGACCACGGTAGTGCTTCTCGCAGTAGCGGTTGAAAATCCAGAAGAACACGGTGGCTGCGTTCGTGAAGAGATTCATGAAGACAGAGGTCCAGAACACCCAGGCAAAGTTGCCTGTATTCTACTGACGGTTAGATCAATGGAGCTCCAAGAGTTGCAGGGCACATACCTTGGCAATCACGTTCGCGGTGGACTTGCCGACAAATCCTCCAATCTAGTCAAAGTTAGCTTTAGTGAGTCCAATGTGGTGTGGGCGCATGACTCAATACTTTTCCAATAGCGAGCTCAAATCCAAGCGTGGAAGCAAATCCGTTGCTGGGCGGAAACCAGGAGGAGAACATTTTGTATTGTGCTGTCTGGGTCGCAATGTCGCCAAGTGCGAGGATGATTCTTCCGCCGACCATGAATCTAAATGAGCGCACTGTGGTAGCAGCAGCCACCAGAATGGAACCAATGGTATACACGACATTTCCATAAACGATCATTCCTGGCATGCAGGTTAGGGTCATTGCGTCATTGGAGGGGATCAGCAAACATACGAGCACCACCGACTCGATCCGTGACAATGCCGCCTGCGAGAAGCAGAAGGGTGGCCATGAAGTTCTCACTGGCTTCGAGAAGGGAGAATTGGGTGTTGGTCACATGCATTTGCTTTGCGATCTGTCAGTAAAGCAATGATCTACCCTGGCTAGGACAACAAACCTTCTTGATTGTGCTTTTCATGGCACCGGTGACACCGCTGCTCCAGTGGGAGCCAAAGCTGATGCAAGAGATAACAATGACAGCAATCAGCTTTGCGGCGAGAGGTGGTGGTCGCCTTCCATCGACATCATTTGTGCGAGGGCTCTTGGACGATTGCAAGGATGAGGTAGTCTCCGGCTCCTCCGAGATCACCTGAGGTGTGTCCTTTTCTACTCCCATTGTGCAGACAGACAGACAAGCTGCGCTCTGGATAAGAAATTGAATGTGAGTGTGAGAAGATCAGCGCAGTCGAAGGTGCGGGCAGACCCTGGTCGTGAACCCATCTTTATATGACATGAGACGTCCAGACCACTTTCTTCCTGAAAGCTCCCGGTATATCGCCGATTGGGGGTCATTCAGCCAGGACACGTTTAATCAGATTAGATTTTCTGGCAATCATCCGATTCTCGGGTCCTGCTTCCCAGGGAGGGGAGCTTCCATACTTTTTTGTTGTTTAGTGTCTTGGCTATGCTAACGTTGTCGTATCGTCTCCGCCGAGAAACAGGGTGATTGGACGGGATTCAGATCTTGGCATTGATTGATAAGATTGATAGGACCCACTTACGGACAGTATCCGAGAAGGTTGAGCAGGTTCAGCACCGTTCGAGAAGATCCTTCACCTGTTGGTCTGGGTTTGTCTCACTTATCGGAGGTCGGAGGCTTAGGGCTTGGACATCTGCACCACGCCACGTATCTTTCAGAAAGGCTTTCACCGGGAATCGAGTTTTCCATGCTTGAGCAGACATTGTCACTTTCGTTCCAGAGAACAGCCTTGTCATAGGGCTTGCCATCCGGCCGTTTGTACATTCCTGGCCGGGCACACCACACAAGAATGGCAGAGGGCCATTTCTAGCTACCACCTTATCGGCGAGAAGGCAATCAAGTCGGAGCATGGCTCCCGCCCTCGTCCAACACGTCAGAACCAGGATGTCATCAGAAGCTCGTACATTCCGAACATAAGTGCCACACACATGCACGAGCAGCACCAAACTACAGACTCCAAAGGGTACCTCTTGTGTCAACATTAAGTAAAGTGATTGACCCAGTTTCATTAACATCCCTGTTCGCCGTGACAGCCTGCTTGGCTTTGAGCCAACCAAACAAGCAGCCTCTACAACGGCTCCGTGACTGCACCGTAGCACAAACATGTGGATTTTTTGATTGCTTATCGTAGCAGGGATACGTACGCAGTCAGAAAATACCTTCGAAGAAATGCTTGGCTCGGAGACATTGAGGCAGAGCCAGACCCCTTCAGCTCCACATCGGCCAAATCGATTCCGATCTCTTCCGTTAGCCTTCCCGCAAACAGCATATCGTCGGGTAGGAAACTGGGATTGCTGGTCATCCCACGTGTTTGCTGCTCAAAGGGACGGGCCCGCTCACCGGCCGCAGTTCCATAGTAGCCCCGCTCCTCCGCTGCTATGGGTATATGGGTGGGTATCACCAAGCTGCCCGCGCAGTTGTTTTTGAAGAATTTGTGCCTCCGCGGAGCTACTCAGACCGAGGGTTTTGATGTGGCCTACGATGCTGGAGAAAATACTCCGAGCTAAGCTAGCAAATTATGGAAGGAAGAGGACAAGGATCTAGGGTTGATGGATATTGACTTCATTGTTTATATGCGGTGGTAGGTGCAAAGAAGACATATCCGCAAAGAACCTCCGCCACCTATAATGCAACCTGGAATAGATCTTGATGGGTTACTTCAGCTGCAGGTTGAAAAGTGGCAATTTGCTCTCGCAGTGGAGCTGGCTGGTCAAACCGTGTTTTCCATCCCATGGATGGTCGGACTTTCAAGCTAGCGTACATAAGGTTTCTGATACGAAGCTATGGATTAAGCTTATCGATTCGAAGAAGATTTCCCAGCAGGGGTTTTGAGCTTGAATGTTACTCCCTCGTGGCACCTGCCTTGATTGAGCCTGTACTTGAGGCTACCAGGGCTAACTGTCGAAGGATTAATCTTCACAAAAAGAGGTGGGAAGCAAGGGGAGACGATTTCCATGCCATCGGCCCCTGGACCTCGCAAGGTCGTCACGAAAGTGGCATAGCGGGAGGAGTCCACTGGTGGATGAGGTGGAGCATGAAATGGAAAGTGGGTTCGGAATTTTTTGATGCGGTTTTACTTCCACTTTAGCCAAGAGCTAGAGTTGACGTGTTGACGTAGAGTCGGTCGATTCAAAGTTCAAGAAGGGTAGATGGGTTGGCGCTGAATATCTGGAGTTCAATTGCACCGCAGAAGATTGTGGTTCTTTATGTTTATTCCAGAAGCGCATAGATCTGTTACGTTGAACTATCGAGTATCAGAGTCGGACAGAATTCGTCGACTGAACACATCTTCTTCTAATATAGTAGTATAGCAGTATGGTTAACCAGCTAGTAGGCCCCCCTTGACCCCTCTCCAAGTTCCAACTATTCTCACCTCCCCGCCCACAGCCCAGTAGTAAGATAGATGGCTGTACATCACCTCCCCATCCACCCCCCATCCACAACGACCACACTCCCCGAAACATAGCCGCTCGCCCGCCCCGCCGCCAGAAAACCGTCACCCCCTTGAAATCCTCCGGGCTCGCCCACCGTCCCGCCGGGATCCGATCAAGAATACTTTTGGACCGGTCTGCATCGTTGAGCAGCGCGGTATTCATCTCCGTCGCCACATACCCCGGCGCGACGGCGTTAACCCGCACCCCGCGCGCCGCCCACTCGTTGCTCAGCGCCTTGGTCAGCTGCGCCACCCCGCCCTTGGCGGCCGCGTAGGCCGGCACCGTCAGCCCGCCCTGGAAGGAGACCAGCGAGGCGACGTTGATGATGGCGCCGCGCTGGCCGTGCGCGTCGGGGTCCCGGGTCAGCATGTACCGGCCGACGTCGCGGCAGAGCGTGAAGATCGTGGTCAAATTGGTCTGCAGGACGGCGTCCCAGTCGGCGTCGGGGAAGAGGTGGCTGGGGTGCCGGCGTTGGATGCCCGCGCAGTTGATCAGGATGTTGATGTCGTGGCCGTCGGCCAGGATGCGCGGGATCAGGGTGGTGATCGAGGCGCGGGAGGAGAGGTCGGCGGTGTAAATTGTTGCTTTGCGGTTGAGGGATTCGATTTGCGTTTTGGTGGTGAGGTTCGTGGGGTCGCGCTTTGGGGATTTTGGTTAGAGACTGGGGGGAGGGGGGGGGGATGGCTTACCTGGATGAGGATTATGTCGCTGCCGGCTTCGGCGAGGGCGAGGGCCATTTGTTGGCCTATGCCTCGTGTGCCGCCGGTTACGAGGGCGGTGCTGTTTTCAAGAGAGAAGAGGTCCATTGTTGAAGGGGAATTGTATAGGAAGGAGGATGGTGGAGTCCTCGGGCAGCGCGGGACAGGGACTAAGTACTAGTAAATATTGCTACTAAATATGTCGAAGACAATGCGGGGGAACCCCCACGTCTTGTTCCCCCTTCCCCACAAGTTGATACTGAGACTACCGCCACTACACCCACTCTGCTGCACACTCACCACTCGCGGATCCCTCCATCAGGACCATAGAACTCCTTCGGCAGCCACGGCTCAGTTTCCTGACTGATCTTCCGGACCAACTCCTCGTTGATCTCAATCCCCAGTCCTGGCCCCTTGGGCACCGTCACGTACCCTCCCTCGATATCAAACACCGACGCATCCACCAGATAGCTAGTCAGGTCAATATCCCCTGCTTCAATGTTATAATGCATCCCGAGTGACATCTCCTGAATCACAAAATTGGGGATGGAGGTGGCGACCTGCATCGACGCCGCCAGGGCGATCGGACCTTCATGGAAAACGAGTTAGCACACACACACACCTCTAAATCCACCTCAAGAAAAGCAAACTCACCCAAAGGACAATGCGGCGCAATCGCCACATCGTACGTCTCCGCCATCGTCGCAATGCGCTTCGTCTCCGAGATGCCCCCCGCGTGCGCAATATCCGGCTGCAGGATGTCGACCGACGCGTCCTCCAGAAACCGCTTGGCATCCCACCGCGTGTACAGACGCTCTCCCAGCGCGATGGGGATGCTGGTCTGTTGGGACAGCTGCTTGATGGCTTCCGGGTGCTCCACCAGCAGGGGCTCTTCGATGAACAAGGGGCGGTACGGCTCGAGGGCCTTGGCCAGCTGCTTGGCCATGGGACGGTGCAGACGGCCGTGGAAGTCCAGCCCCGCGTCCAGGCCCAGGGCTTTCACCTGTTTGATGCGCTCGATGCAGGAGTCCAGAATGGCGGGTGAGTCCAGCCAGTTAACGTCCTCGGTGGCGTTCATTTTCACGCATTTGAGGCCTTGCTCGATACGCGCCTTTCTGCGGGTTGGTTGTTAGGTGATGACACGGAGGCTTTATTTGAATGAAGGATTGACGCACGCAGCGATCTCCACGTCACTGGGTCGGTCGCCTCCAATCCAGGCGTAGACCTGGATTTTGTCGCGGACTTTGCCGCCTAGCAGCTGGTACACAGGTACGCCCAGTCGGCGGCCTTTCCGATCCCACAGGGCGATGTCGATTCCGGACAGCGCGGACATGAACACGGGACCACCGCGGTAGAATCCTAGTCGCCAGATGGTTTGCCAGATATGCTCAATGTCGCTGCAAATGATGAGCTTGGGTTTGGTTTCGGAAGTGGACGAACATACTCTGCCTCATAGCCAATCACTCGTGCGATGATCTCATCCAGGGCCCCTTCCACGGCCAATGTGTGTCCCTCAAGTGTGGCCTCGCCCCATCCGAATTGACCCTCGTCATCGGTGATCTTCACAAACAGCCAACGGGGCTTGACTCGGAAGTATTCAATCGACTTGATGCGCGCCATTCTGGTGTGTATGTACAGTACTATCAGGTGAATTGCCGAAGGTCTCCTGCCGCATTCTATGACTACCCATTTATATACGCAGCATGACGAGCTACTTCCACAGACCCTTTCTTCCCCACGCTTACCCCCGCGTGGGGGTGGACGGCTATATAGTCCGGGGTACCGTATTCATAACATGCCACTATCAAACCCGCATCATTGGCGGAGGCCGAGCGCTGATCCTTGACTCCCCACTCCCGCACATGCACTTTCCCCTCACCCCGCTTTCTGGCACCCTCAGTACACGTACCGGAAATTCAAGTTCTGCTTATCCGTGAGGTCACTGAAAGCCGTCTGGTCGCGGTCCCATGCCGTGGGGTCTCCGTGCTGCTGCGCTGCATCCCGTCGACGGTTTTCCCACGCCAGCATGATCCGCAAAATCACCACCAGTGCAATCTCAATCAAGTTGGACACGATCATCGACCAGATTCCCAGCTGGTACTGCGGTGCTTGGTCTGACTTGTAGAAGAACGGACCGGCGATGTTTCCCGCACACACTCCGAGAAAGATCATCGCGTTGGTGACGACCTTCTTCGTGTGACCGGCGATGTTGGCGGTCAGGATGGAAAGAATGAGAACGAAGGAGGCGTTATACGACCCGGTTAAGTAGTAGCAGATCAACCGACCGACGCGGTTATCTTCAGCGAGGAAGCCGAGTCCGAATGCACCTGCAACATTGGGGAGGAGGAAAAGGATGGTCACGATGCAGCGGTTGTTGGGCGGCAGGCGATCGTTGATGTACACGCTGAGGAGGATCATGAGGGTTATAAACACGCCGTAGGGAATTTGCATCAAGGTCGTCACCACTGCAACTGTCAGACTCATGCCTCCTAAAATATAGCATCCCACCGAGCTTACAGGTCGAAAAGCCGAATCCCGAAATGATTAAGGTCCCGAAATTGGAGATTCCGCCATTGGGGATGTTGCCAGAGAGCCCCAACAGCAGGAACGCCCACACTTTCCAGTCGAGTAGCGCCTCCAGGACCTGCGCTGGCTTGAGGACCTTGTTCTCCACGCCTGTCTGGTTGTCCCGGAGCCTCTCCACCGCCAACCGTCTTTCCCGTGGGGAAAGATTGCGCGCCGTCACCGGGGAGTCGGGCAGCAGGATCAAGATGACGATGCCCCAGGCGGTGCATAGCGCGCCGATGATGAGGAACTCGTACTTCCACGAGGACAGAGCCCCCTGGATATGCCCGATGCCATACCCCAGCAATCCTCCGAGGGCAATGCCGAGTCCGTTGGCAGTATACCACAGCCCGATGCGGATGGGCTGCTGGCGTCTCGTGTAGAACATGCTCGTGATCAACATGAAGGCAGGATCACTAGTATGAAGTTAGCCGCAGCATGACAAAGTTCGGGGATGCTGTTGTTTACCTGCATGCCTCCGCAGCCCCTGAGATAACTCGCAAGACAACGAGCTGTGTGAAGTTCTTCGCCGCAGCTAGGGGAGCGAGAATAAGTAGAGATATCTTAATTTTGGGGGCACATGAGGTTCTCCCACGGACCCTGTAGCATGAGGAAGACGCCCCATAGAATGATGTTCACGCCGAGATATTTGGCCACGGGGAACTTCTGGAGAAGAAAGTTGGTAGGGATGGCCCAGACGAGGAAGCCGAAGTAAAACACCGACGAAAGCCAGGAGTATTGCTGGCCGGACAGGTGTAGATCGTCCTTGATGCCAAAGATGGCCGCATAGGAGAGGGTGGTCTTGTCGATCTGGTTGTGATGTTAGCGATGACCCTTATGATTCATGCTGGTCAGCCAGGATGGAAATGCGCACATAGTAAAAGGCATAGCAGACGGACAGACATGGCAGGATTGCCCAGTCTATCTTCCTCTCCAATCGCTTTAGTTCGGCTGCGTCGACGGATTGCAGTTCATCGGCCGTGGCGAACAATGCCAGGGCTGTATCGCCATGTCGAATGCTGCTGATCTTGCCATCGTCTTCGGTATCCTCGATGTGTAGGGATGAGGGCTTGGGAGCAGCGTTGGGCGTCGAGATTTCCGCAGACATGTTGGTCTGTGTCTGGTATCTGTGTGCACGGTGGAGTCTGGGAGTATCATGGAAATATCCTGTTGCAATTCCGGATGCTCTTTTTCCCCTTTTTCCCCAGGTCTGATGTATGAGGCACAGTGTTCTCCCCCACACCCCCAGACAGTAGCCGTTAGCGTGGGGGAAAATGCAGGGTTGTTGACTGTTGACCCCGGGGATTTTTCTCCGCGTTTGCCTCGGAGCGAAATCCGAGCTTCCTGTTGCGCTCATCTCCCTGCTGTTGTTATCTTCCTACCTTTTAATCTCCTTGACCCTGTCTTTACTGCTTCTCAAGGTCAAACAACGATTGCATGCCATGACATTCCTGACACGCGAGGAAATCGAGAGACATTCATCTCGCCAGTCATGCTGGGTTGCCATCCATGGCTCTGTTTACGATGTGACCGGTGAGCCAGGAGCCAGAATCACACTGCTCAGCAGTAACTGATACACCACAGAATTCATTGACGAACATCCCGGCGGTCCGCAAGTAATCCTCCGCTGTGCCGGCAAGGACGCAACGGCAGACTTCGACTCCGTCCACGACAAGTCCCTCCTCTCCGACGCCCTTGAACCATCATGCCTGAAAGGCTCAATCCAACCCGGCGCACTCTCAGCCCCATCCCCATCTTCACCATCACCATCATCACCATCACCACCCAGCCCCTTACCCAAGATAGTAGCCACCACAACCACAGTCCAGACCCCGACTTCACCAACCCCCGCCCCTCCCCTTTCCACCCTAATCAACCTCCACGACTTCGAAAAAGTCGCCCACCAACACCTTTCCCCCCACGCATGGGCCTACTACGCCTCCGGCGCCGACGACGAGTACAGCAAGCACGCCAACGCTAAAGCCTACCGTAAAGTCTCCCTACGCCCGCGCATCCTCCGCAGTATCCGGGCCGGCGTCGACACCAGCACCACCATCTTAGGTCAGAAGGTCTCGCTGCCGGTGTACATGAGTCCGACGGGGATCGCCAAGCTGGCGCACCCGGACGCCGAATGCGCCCTGGCGGCGGCGGCGGGCCACGAGGGTCTGGCCCAGGTGCTAGCCAACGGGGCCAGCATGCCTATCGAGAGGGTGCGCGCGGCGCGCACGAGCCCCCAGCAGCAGCCGCTGTTTGCGCAGCTGTATGTTAATAAAGATATACGGAAGTCGGTGGAGACGGTCCGGAGGGCGGTGGAGGCGGGGGCTTGTGGGGTCTGGGTGACGGTCGATTCGCCGGTTGTGGGGAAACGGGAGATGGATGAGAGGTTGAATTTGGAGGTGCAGGTATGTTTACTCTTGCCTTCTTGAGGGAGGGATAGCTGGGGAGGTGTGGAAAGATGCTTATGGGATGGGAGATGGACAGGCACGAGACTCGTCCGCCCGAGGCCAGGGCGTCGCAAAGACCATGGCTAGTTCGATCTCCCCGTTCATTGACTGGGAGATTCTGACCTGGTTACGCAACCTCACCGACTTGCCGATTGTGATTAAAGGGATCCAGTGCGTTGAGGATGCGGTGTTGGCGTACCAGCGCGGAGTGCAGGGGATCGTTCTCTCGAATCACGGGGGGAGGTCGCAGGATACGTGAGTCTCCTCACTTCTCTTCCTGCATCTACAAAAATTCAGAATCACTGATGGTAGGTGGGGATCAGCGCTCAACCCCCGCTCGTTACCTTGCTTGAGATCCGCAGACATGCGCCCTACTTGATCGGAAGCCGTATGCAGATCTTCGTGGACGGCGGGATTCGTCGTGGGACTGATGTCCTCAAGGCGCTGGCGCTGGGCGCATCGGCGGTTGGGCTTGGACGGCCGTTCCTCTACGGTCTCGCGGCCGGTTACGGCGAGGAGGGGGTGCGCCGCGTGATCGCTCTCCTGCGGCAGGAGATCGAGGCGAATATGGTGTTCTTGGGCGTGACGAAGCTGTCGGAGTTGGGGCCTCATCTGCTCAATGCGACGCGGTTGGAGAGAGATGTGGTTGGTGAGGTGAAGTTGTAGTTTATGTGGTAAGTACCACTGCAACCCACATATAGAGCCGAGGTAGGAATTCAGAAATTTGTTGAAAACCAGGACGGATCTATCAATCAATCTATGGTCATCAGAAATTCTCCGAATGGAGCAAACACGAAGAACCTCCTTCCCAGCAATCCATGATACCATCCCACACGAGTATTTAGTACAGTAAATCAGCAACTACTCACTCAGACATAGCCTCTTGGTACAGTACAGTACCTCCGCAGGGGGGGGGGATCATCAAGCATAAAGTTATTTTTTCCCGCAGAGGGCTGTGTGTCACTGTGTTCCAAACTCTCGGGGACCTGATGATGGGACCCCCGATCCACAATTTCCTGGGTGTATGGACAGTACGCAGTGTACTGTAGACGATTCCACTTGTCGGTCGGCCTTTTCTTTCTTTCTTTCTTTCTTTCGTTCTTTCTTTCTTTCTTCATGCATAGTGTTCCCGAGTATCGCAATCCGCACCTCGCCTCTCCGCTTGAGCATCTTCCCAGCTATCTTCAAAACGGTGAAGTTACTTGAACCGAACCGTTCAGCGTCTGAACAGAGACAAAGCATAACGATTGGCGACCAGGAACCGAACAAAGATGGAGCCCCCATCCATGACAATGGAACCTATCTCCGGCGCATCCGGCTTCCTCCGCTGTATTGCCATGCCATACCTTGCGGAGATGTGAACCGCGGGTGAGGGATGGATTCAACAAAAGGGTTCGGGGACCATTTCCAATGCTCATGCAGCGGGAAGGAGAAGGTGACTTTTGGGTGGAAGGTGGGATCCCACCCCGAGTTTGATTGCTGGTCCCCGAAAGCATGGCAGATCAAACCCACGAACCCACTCTATCGCCGACTTTTCCTTTTTTTTTTTATCCTTTTTTGTTTTCTTTGGGGGTTTGTGGATCAGGTGGTGTGGTGTGCTGGTTATTGGGAGTGGGGAGAGGTCTAGGAGATTTCGGGGACTTCGGAGGCGAGGGTTGTACCTGTACTTGTACTTGTACTTGTACTTGTACTTGTACTTGTACTTTATAGTACTCTTCTCTACATTGAGCATGTCTACGCTGGGTTTGGACTCAGTATTTTCAAGATTGATATGGTTCCCTGAGACGGCAAATCCGTCGGCCTTATATTTGAAAGCAGACTGAGGTGGACTCTGTTTTGTTTATTTCTTTATCTTTCCATCGTTGATCTTTGGTCCTGTGTCTTACGGTGAAGCCGGTGCACCCCCCAGGTCATGTTCACACCGATCCATACCTCGTTGGGCGCCTTACTCCTCTACCAGGGCTCCTCGGGACTCCTCTTGCACAATGGCGCGGTCTTTGGGATCTCGTCCCTGCTGTCGGGCAGTCTGCTGCGTCCCAGCTGCGAGAATGTGCCCGTCCTCGCCGGCCTGGTGTCCAGTCTGGTGCCCGTGGCGCTCTGCATGCCGTCGTTGATCCCCTCGTATCCCCCAGCGCCGAACTCGTGGATGTCGCTGGTGTCGACGCTGGCGATGGGGTTTCTGCTGGGTTGGGGGACTAAGGTAAGCAATTTGATAACTTCCTCTCGCGTTGACTTGGTCTGTGCAACCAACAAGCTAACTACCGTCATGGTTTAGAACGGCCGAGGCTGTACCTCCGGCCACATGCTCTGCGGCGTTTCGCGTCTGTCCCCGCGCTCGATGATCGCCACGGCCATATTCTTCACAACCGCCGTGCTCACGGCCAACTTCCTCCCCGGCCGCCAATCTCTACCGGCGTGTGCGGACGGTCGCCCCTGTTATCTGCCCGTCTATCCTACCGCAGCGGAGGGCGGATTCATGGTGGCCACGACCCTGCTAGCCTTCGCGACGAATTGGGTTGCCGTGCCCCGCGTCCTCAAACGATCCGAGAACTCGCGCACGGTTTTTGCGTACCTCGCCGGGTTGCAGTTCGGCACGGGGCTGTTGTTCACGGGGATGGCGGACCCTGTAAAGGTGCTGCGGTTCCTCGTCGGCCTCACGGACCCGTCGCGCTTTGATCCCTCGTTGGCGCTGGTGATTGTCTTTGGGATCGTGCCGTCCATGGTGACTTATCTGTCACGCAGGCCGGGGCAAGCCACCCAAAAGGGAGGGCCGTTTAAGCCGACGCTGGCGGAGACTTGGAGGTTGCCAACTGCCACTGTGGCGGATATCGACTGGCGCTTCGTGGCGGGAGCGGTGGTCTTCGGCGTCGCCTGGGGGTTGCTTGGCGTCTGTCCAGGCCCGGCTATTCTGCGGTCCGTGGTGCAGCCAACTTGGGGTCTTGCGGAGATGGCGGGCTATATTCTGGGAAACCTATTGTAGAAAATCCGTGGAAACCAAGCCGCGTGTATATAAATATATATAGATATGTCATCCTGACACCTGCAGGATTGTTCCCCGCAATATATGCTGATAGCGAAAAATGACGGTTCAGAGGTTTAGTTAGAGACTATGTATATCAGCACGGCTCCAAGGAGTTGCAGAAGCAGATGCAGTCTTAAGACTAGGACCAGCCCAGGCACTGATGCAGTATTGAGGTTTAGACAAGGCTTACAATTCCGTCTTAGCCCAGCTGTTAGTAGAGCGCTTGTGGACGGGGCCAGCACCGGCCCCGGATCCAGACATGAAGCCTTCGAGCTCCATCCACTCGGCCGCGAACGCAGTGAACAGTACGCTCCAGTCCTCCACGGTGTCTATATCCAGATGTTCGCCGTCATCCTTGATCGTATGCCAGACCGTGGGAAAGCCCCGATCGCCGGCATCAATGATATGCAAGACCTCCACGCCTCGTCTCAGGAAAGGAATGTGGTCGTCTTCAATGTGCATGTATATCGGGATCTCATTTTCGCTCCTTGACTGATGAGGGAACCAGGACCGTCCGGAATCCGAGGACCGGAACCGCTTCAGCTCCCGCAGCCGCCGCTCCAGCGTGGCCAGCTTCTTGTACGCCCAGTGCGTGGTGGGGAAGAACGACTGGATCGTGGGGTCCTTGGCGCCTAGCAGATCCAGCAGTACGAACAGGGAGATCGAGTCGAGCGGCGACCGGTACACGGACATCGCCGAGTGAACCTCGGAGTCCCACTGCTCCGCCAGGGAGCGTGCACCGTACAGCGAGTCGGTGGCCGTCCACTCCTTGAAAGCCTCCTCCCCGTCCATGAAGATGACCTGGATGCCCTGTTGTTCCTCCAGCAGATGTAGCTGCCCCTGGGCGCGCATGTCCTCCCACTTCTTCGTCAGGGCGCTGTCGATGCTCCGCATGGCGTGCAGCATGATCGCGCACGGCGCGGCACTGTCGATCGCCCCGATGAAGCCTTCCGGTTCGTACTTGCTGTCGTAATGCGCAACTAGGGTCAGGCGTCCGACGTCGCCGGGGCTGGCGCCGGGCGGATCCCGGGAGGCGATGAGGTTGACGAAGGGAACCTCCTTCCCCTTGGAGACTGGGGTCTTCGATGTCGAGTTCTGGAATTGCAGCGTCCACTCCGGGAGCGAGGTGCGGAAGAACTCCGCAAGGTGATTTAGGACGGCGGTGTTACCCGCAGTCCCGGAGACACGGGGCACCAGGATCGGGGCGAGGAGTGCACCATCGTGGATATCGAAATCCTTCCCGGGCCGCGGGAGGAATCGCAAAGTCTCGTCCGAGACGGTTTCGTAGGCTGTTCCTGACGCGAGAAGGAGGAAAATGGCGAGGCAGGTGGACAATAAGGGGCGCAGAAGGCCACGGTGCGGCAGCAGCGGAATCATGGCGATGGGGATGGGAGAGTGATATGGGTCAACTCAAACTCATGGCACGAGACGGTGATTATTCCTGACTGTCACAATTTGGTCAAAGATGAAAGAGACCTGCAGAAGGAGGATGACAGGAATCAGCTGTCTGTCAGGGAGAGAACTCAAGATTGAGTCTTTGTTTCACAAACGAAGCAGCCATGGATTTGACAGGTCTGACCGCCTTTGAGCTACTATCGATAAGTTCTTATCCGAACTGCCTCGACTTTCTACTGTTCCCGGCGCTGAGAACCACCTCCGGTTCTATTTCTCCCTTCTGTGACAATATGAGGCCGATCATCCTGCTGCATCCGCAATTGCGGGCCGCACTTCCACGAAATGTCCGGCGGAGTCTCAACAGCAAGCTGTTTGCTCGGCTGAAGACCACCGAGAACGCTGCTCGCAGCCCGAAGAATGATCCGTTCATCAAAAGACCAGCGCACCCCGAGAGTATGTTCTATAACAAGGAACCCGACCCGGCTAGTTACGCATATGGAAAGCTCTTTGCGCGGAAAGGTATTGTTACGAAATCGTCTGCATTGCCACATAGGAGCGTGCACTGATCTCAAGCCGGCAGGACCCCCCGAGGTGATTCTCATCTATAATGGTGGTGTCCATAAAGCCATGTTCCTGGCGGCATTGAAGATCACTGGCATCCTCCTGTACGGAGTAACGATTGCTTTCATCTTACCAGAGTTCATGAGTGGGGAGTATCCTGACTGGTATGCCCCAGCAGGTAAGTTCGGAACCCTCGATTGTGCTCATCGCGGAGGGGAGTCAGCGCCTAATATCAGAAAACAGCTCTGACTCTCGGTGCGATCCCGATGCTCTTCATGGCTTACAATGGGGCTACCTTTGTTTGCTACATTCACTTGTTTCTGCCAATGTCTGCTCGGCAGTCTCGGCAGGCGGCTGAGGATTATGCCAGAAATCTTCCGCCGACGGCTCGGTTGTTCATCACGACCATGGGTTTCTCAACTAGACCTATAAAGAGGGAAGTACATCTCAAAAACCTTGTCCCTGAAGTCACGCTCAGGCGTCCTGTGAGCTTCAAGGATGTGGGTCCCGAATCCAAGAAAGGCTACTGGACTCGAGGGTTGACGGAATTCTGGGCGGCGCCCAAGAGCCACCGTGGGAAACAGTCGACAGCATTCTATCCTCACCTGTGGCCGGCGGTGAGGGAGCAGATTGAGCGGAGGGCGCCGTGAGGGAAATCTTGGTAAATCTGGCGTTAGGGGGAGTTCAATGTGAGAGATTGGCATGGAGGTTTCTTATATTAGTGAAACTGGAGACGTGGATGACATTAGCCTCAGCATCTTTACTCCGGAGTTGAAAACCAACGATACTCTTTACCACATTTCTTTTGGGTCAAATGGACCCATATCCATGATCTCTTCACTTTACTCTCATTTCCAGCCTGTGTTACGCCTTAGCGTGACTTCGTGCTGTCCCAACAACACTTTGCCGAGTCCAGTCACCATTCACTCACCAAAGCTGATATTATTCTCTATATCCCTCATGTTCCTGACCTGTCCCACCTGTTTGTAAACAAAACTGCCACTTTCTCCCTCCGTCATCCAAATTTCTCCTGATACCACTTTCTTCCCCCTACACATCTACTCTCCACTCTCATACTCTCCACATAGCTTTCCTCGCGGAACAAATCTTACTGAACACTCTCATGTTCATGGTACCCTCACCTCATCAGAAACACCCGCTCGAACAACTACATCATCTTTTTATGCAACACAGGCTACAAAAGAACCCAGCAACAACATCAGTCATGACAACTAGAGGCGCCCCGAAGCCAGAGGGCTTGTTCGGCTTGACTGTCAGCGAGGCCAGGCTCATTATCCTCGGCCAGATGTACTGTGATTCAACCGGCAAAGTAAGCGATCTTGATGTGCAAACATCAAGTGAGAATGCAATTCTGACATCCAAGAGAAGGCCGATTACGAAAAGATAGCCGTCAAAGGCGGTTACAAAAACGCAGCGTCTGCTATGACTGTCTACCGCAATGCGAAACGCCGACTGGCCGAACTCTCAGCTGGTTGCCCCGAAGATTCTGCTGATGCTGCCAACAACGCTACCGCAGCGACCCCACTTAAGACTCCTACGAAGCGTAAGAGAGGTAAGGCAGCGGATGTCACGCCTGATGATATGCTTGCCACCCCCAGTGGTACTGTCGAGGCCGAAGCAGCCGTGACCCCAAAGCCCAAGCGTGTCCGGAAGACCCCGGCCAAAAAGGCAGCCGCTCCCAAAGTCGTTATTCCGAAGGTCGAGGAAGGTGATAGGTAAGTGGCACCCCTCATACGACGCCTCTGAATCCCCGAACTATGCTAACCGAAAATTTAGCGACGGGGAAGCTAGTATGCAACTCGAATCCTCTCCTCTTGCGCAGGCCAGCGCTGAACACGACGAGGGCGGCGATTTGTACAAACGGATCAAGGAAGAGCAGTCTACTCTGGCTGACATCGAGGAGGAAACTTTGGCTGGTATTCTGAAAGAGCATATCACTGCGTCTGACGAGGAGAGAGCCATGGCCGAGATTGATGTGGCAGCCGAGATGGAGGCGATGGAATCAGTCACGATCCCAGTAAAGACCGAGGAATGAATGTCTCATCCACCTTAAAAGCTGTACTCTGATGGACGGATCGATCTCACATGCTTTACCGAATTTCTGTTATTATCCCCAACGGCGCCCTTTAGGGTGTTCCGTATGGGAGCGCCTGTGCTTGATAATTTTCAATCAAAAGAACAATGATGCAGTCGTCGCACTGCGCAGATCCATCTTCATGGCTTGTAGAACTTGAGCGGTTGAGCCTATGTAATTCTTCCCACTCAAGATAAGTATGTACATGTCCGCGTAGCAGTAGCCACATTCTCAATGCTTCAATCATAATTTGGGTAGTGTCATCAGGTAAAGCTGGGCCACCTCTTCCAAACAAGAAAAAAAATTATAAGTCTTATCAGGGGAGATCGATTTTTCACCGACAGCGCTAGAACCAAACAGTCCACTCAACAGATCAAGTCCCAGTCAAGGTAAAGACCTGGTGAATGTTGTATTCTCCTTGTCTACATCTGGGACTATCTGCTTAGTTTGCATGATTTGCATGATTTGCATACTACAGCTTCTCCGACCCACCCGCATCAACGATTCTCCGCCAGACAAGCAGCTGGACGGCTTCTTATCGGAGGAAGACAAACCACGCTATCGAGAAATTCTTAGGATACAATTGCCTGTCGTTTTTTTTTTTTTGCCTAGTCAATCGCCCCATCTGAGTCTCCTCCACCTCGGAACTCATGAGAATCCATTCGGGGTCGCTGCCCCAGCGGGCACGCCTACATGTTCCTCGAATCCCGACTCTCTCCCACCAAACCGTATGCGGCGTCCACAACTATGCGCGGACGGCCGCGGTGCTGCGGGCGAACTCCGCGCTGACCACCGGACCTCGTCCAACGCTGAACCGAACGACAATTCAATCCATGACCGAGCAGAAGAGGTGGATCAGTCAACGGTACTTGCAACGGCTCGAAGAAGCCCGACAGGAATGGGCCCATTTCTCCCGGCAGATCAAGGAAGGGAAACGGAAGAATTTCGCACAGCATCTTGAAGACAGAGGACTGTTGCACGATGTCGTCGGGTGAGTGTTTGTGCGTAGGATTGCAAATGGGTTGCTTGGGAATCCGGCTAACGGGGGCGCGCTCTTCTTTTCCACCTCCAGGGAACGGGAGCTTCTGCACCGCGTGTTCACCGAGAAAAGGGCTGGTATGTATGCCGGCGTCGATCCTACCGCTCCTTCTCTTCATGTTGGACATATGTTGCCGTTTATGGTTCTGGCATGGGGTTATGTCTGGGGTTTGCCTGTACACTTCATCGTAAGTCGCACTCACGGCACCCTCCGGGCGAGACAGTCTGGCTGACATCGAGGACAGCTTGGCGGTTCAACAAGCCGCATCGGTGATCCTACTGGGCGACTAGCGGGCCGAGAACAGGTCAAGGCATCGGTTCGAAAGGCAAACATGGCGTCGATGCACATTCAGCTAAAGAGGCTCGGCAAGAGCATTGAGGCTTACGGCCGAAGACATGGTTACGAGAAGGAATGGTCCTGGAGGCGGAGTATCACCAACAATAATACGTGGTGGACTAGTGTCACTTTCATGGAGCTCGTACGAGATCTGGGCTCCTACATGCGGCTGGGCCCCATGCTTGGAAGGGATACGTGAGTTCCTTTTATTCCGTCGCCAGCCCTTGTCGTGGGTACTGATCGTCTGCAGCGTCAAGAACCGGTTGGAGAAAGGAGACGGAATGTCGGTTGCCGAATTCATGTATCCTCTGATGCAGGCATGGGACTGGTGGTATCTGTTCCGGAGGGGCGTGCAGGTCCAAGTTGGAGGCGCCGATCAGTACGGAAACATTCTGTTCGGCATGGAAGCCGTCAAGACGGCTAGCAGAAACACCGCCAACGAGCAGGAGCGCAATTTGTTGGAGGATGAAATCGACAGGCCTATCGGGATGACAACGCCCCTGCTCACGACTTCTTCAGGGGAGAAGTTTGGCAAGTCGGCTGGCAATGCGATCTGGCTTGACAAGGAGATGACATCCACCTTTGAGCTATACCAGGTATGAGCGAGCGCCTCGTATCTTGTCTTCAGGTTGATTAACACGCATTGCAGTTCTTTGTCCGTACTCCCGACGACGTTGTGGAGAAATACCTCAAGATGTTCACTTTCTTGCCCTTGCCGGAAATCGAGAAGATCATGGCGGAGCAGGTTTTGGACCCGTCCAAGCGCGTGGCCCAGCATGCTTTGGCCGCAGAATTCGTGGAACTCATTCACGGCAAACAGGAAGCGGACGCAGTCGCCCTCCAACACCGCCAACTCTTCCGCCCAAGATCCTCCACCGCTGAACCCACTCCTCTCCCTGGCCAGCCCAAGCCCCATCCCATCCCTCAGTCGCCGTACGCAAAGGATGCCAACATGGCGTCCGGCAACATCTACGCCCCTCAAACGAATTTCAGCAACATGCCCGCCCACCGAATTGAGCTCCCTAGATCTCTAGTCGAGAATCAACCTTTACACAAACTTCTCTGGAGTTCAGGTCTGGTGAATTCCAAGAGCGAGGGACACCGTCTCGCTGCGAACGGTGGGGCGTATGTTGGAAGCCGCCCCGGCGCAAGCGGGCCCATGTCCGACAGCCTGGAATACACGCCCATCAGGATCTGGCTTCCGGAGAGGACGAAAGAGTTTGTCGTTGACGGAGAGCTTCTGTTCCTTAGGGTAGGCAAGTGGAAGTTCAAGATCATCCAGATCATCAGCGATGAAGAATTCGCCAAGAAGGGACTGACCTGCCCGGGATGGGAGCCCGAGAGCGCGGAGTCCAAGCCCTGAGCTGAGAGCTAGGGATAGTCATTCGCCTCTCAGTGTATAACAGAGACCTGTACATATATCGCATACCAAAATCAATATACCGTGTATCAATAGACTGTGACATGGACATATACTCGGTCACTAACAGTTGACTTTACCCTGTAGTGTTGATAGTATGACAGCCAAGGCGGTGAGTGATGGCACAAAAGACCTTCCCAAAAACCACTCAACGCGTCCGACGCGCGACGGCCCGCACGTCCATATCCTTATCGCCCGCGCCCATCCCCCAGTCCAGGGCCGCCCTTCCCGATCTCTCTCCCCAAAACATCTCACCCCCCAGTGTGTGGAATTGACCCTTCTTCCCTTCCTCCGATCATCCATCGCAGCATGATATAAGCGCACATCCCACAAAGACAAATTCATCTAGATACTATCCGGAACCCCCGTTCCAGAATGGCCAAAGGAGCCCCCGCCGCATCGTCCCCTCCTCCGACCGCGACGCCTCCATCCCGGGCGCTGAAACGAACCACCTCCAGCACGCAGAACATGAAGAGCCAGAAGTCCATCCTCGGATTTTTCCAGAAGTCGTCGCCCTCGACCCCCTCGACGGCTCGCAAGGTTGTCGAGCCCGCCTCCTCGCCCGCCGAACGGGCTTCCATCCAGCGCGCGGGAGCCAACACCAGCAGCAGCAGTACCGAGAAGAAGAAGCCGCTGCAGCAGCGTGTGCCCCATTTCAAGCAGGACCTGACGCCGGTGCCTAGTAGTGATCTCGTGATACCTGAGGAGGATGACGATGAGGAACAGCAGGGTGCGGTGCAGGTATGGTGTGCTCGCTTCAAGTTAGTAATTGGATGTTTTGGTGTGACTGACTTGTTGGGGAGATGCAGCTTGGTGGTGGTGATCAGCAGCAGACGTTCACGTCTCCGTCGCGTCGGGTAAGAGATCCTTGGAATTCGGCGTATTGGACGTGTAAAAGTGCTGGGCTGACGGATGTGATGCTGCTAAAAGGCTAGGAAGAAGGTCAATTATCTTGAATCGGATTCCGAAGGCGAGGAGGACGACGAGAAGATCTTCCGTCCCGGCCGCAGTAGTCGCAACAAGCGTCAAAAGGTGGCTGTAGAGAGTGAGGATGAGTTCAAGGAGGCTGCAGATGGCGAGGAATATTCTGATTATGGTTGGTTCAAAGCTCTACGTGGTATAGTTTACAAGCGCTGACATTGCCTAGATCTGGACGACTTCATCGTCGCCGATGATTCGGACGAGGAGGCAAAGCCGGCCAAGAGGCGCACGAAACCGGCTGCTCGTCCCAAGAGCAAGTCATCCCCTCTGCCGTTGCAGACGCCCGACGACGATGAGGATCTTGATTTGGACATCCCCGAAGCGACCGGCGGCACGGCGATGAAATGGACGTATGACCCTGAACACTCCGAACCCCGGCAACAACGGACGGCACCCACGACGCCCAAGCGTCCCAGTAACGGCAAGCAGAAAGCACACGTTACCGAGCCGGAGCAGCGATACGCCTGGCTGGCAAATCTTAGAGACATCGATGGCCATCCCATCGGTCATCCGGAGTATGACCCTCGGACCCTATATATACCTCCCTTGGCTTGGTCCAAGTTCTCCCCGTTCGAGAAGCAGTACTGGGAGATCAAACAGAAGTTCTGGGACACTGTAGTGTTCTTCAAGAAGGGCAAGTTCTACGAGCTCTATGAGAACGACGCCACCATTGGCCACCAGCTCTTTGACCTGAAGCTGACCGATCGCGTGAACATGCGCATGGTGGGTGTCCCGGAGATGAGTCTGGACCATTGGGCCAATCAGTTCGTTGCCAAGGGCTTCAAGATCGCTCGGGTGGACCAGATCGAGTCGGCTTTGGGCAAGGAGATGCGCGAAAGAGACGGGAAAGATGGCAAGAAGAAGGCCGGCAAGGAGGACAAGGTGATTAGGCGAGAGTTGGCTTGCGTCTTGACTGCGGGTACACTCGTCGAAGGCTCGATGCTTCAAGACGATATGTCTACGTACTGCGTCGCCATCAAGGAGGCACTTATTGAGGATCGTCCAGCTTTCGGACTGGCCTTCGTCGACACTGCAACTGGCCAATTCTTCTTGTCGGAGTTTGTCGATGACGCCGATATGACCAAGTTCGAGACCTTCGTGGCGCAGACGCGTCCTCAGGAACTGTTGCTCGAGAAATCCACCGTCTCCACCAAAGCACTCCGCATCCTGAAGAACAATACTGGTCCGACAACTATCTGGAACTACTTGAAACCCAGGAAGGAATTTTGGGAAGGCGATATCACCGTCCGCGAACTTGATGCGAGCGACTACTTCGTCTGTGAAGATGGGGACAACCTGCAGGCGTGGCCTGAGGCTCTGCGCGAGGCCCGGGACAAAGAGCTGGTGATGTCTGCCTTTGGGGCGCTGGTGCAATATCTCCGGATCCTCAAGCTCGACCGTGACCTCATCACCATCGGCAACTTTGCCTCGTACGACCCCATCAAGAAGGCTTCCAGCCTGGTGCTGGACGGGCAGACTCTGATCAACATGGAGATTTTCGCCAACTCTTTCGACGGAACCTCCGATGGGACCTTGTTCCAGCTCCTGAACCGCTGCATCACACCGTTCGGCAAGCGTATGTTCAAGCAGTGGGTGTGCCATCCGTTGGTGGATGCGAAGAAGATCAACGCTCGACTGGACGCGGTGGACGCGCTCAACGCCGACTCGAGCGTTCGGGATCAGTTCTCTTCTCAATTAACCAAGATGCCTGACTTGGAGCGACTCATCTCGCGGATCCACGCAGCCAACTGCAAGGCCCAGGACTTTGTTCGTGTCCTTGAAGGCTTCGAGCAGATTGAGTACACCATGAGTCTTCTTCAAGATAGCGGCTCTGGGGAAGGTATAATCGGACAGCTCATCAATGCGATGCCGGACCTCAACAGCATGCTCGAGTACTGGAAGACGGCCTTTGACCGCACCAAAGCTCGAGAGAACGGCATTCTGGTCCCGAAGCCTGGGGTGGAGGAAGACTTTGACAGTTCTCAGGGGCACATCGAACAGATCCACCAGCAGCTCGACAACCTCCTCAAGAAACACCGGCGCGAGCTGGGCTCCACGGCGATCTGCTACCGCAACAACGGGAAGGAGATCTACCAGCTCGAAGTGCCCGTCAAGATCAAGAACATCCCGAAGAACTGGGACCAGATGTCGGCCACCAAGCAGGTGAAACGATACTATTTCCCCGAGCTGCGGACACTCATCCGCCAACTGCAGGAGGCGCAGGAGACGCACAGCCAGATCGTCAAGGAGGTTGCGGGCCGGTTCTATGCCCGGTTTGACGAGAACTACGCCACGTGGCTGGCGGCGGTGCGGATCGTGTCGCAGCTTGACTGCCTGATCAGTCTGGCCAAGGCATCCTCGTCGCTGGGCCACCCCAGCTGCCGCCCTACGTTTGTGAACGACGAGCGCAGCGTGCTCGAGTTCGAAGAGCTGCGCCACCCGTGCCTGTTGTCCTCGGTCGACGACTTCATCCCGAATGACGTCCGTCTCGGCGGGCCCCGGCCCAACATCGACCTTTTGACCGGTGCCAACGCGGCCGGTAAATCCACCGTTCTTCGCATGGTATGGCCCTAATCCCCTCCCCAGTATCACTATCCCCGTGAGCCTCCAGCGCGTTGAAGGAAAGCAAACTTTAACTGACCCAAAACAGACCTGTATTGCCGTGATCATGGCCCAAATCGGCTGCTACCTGCCCTGCACCTCGGCCACCCTGACGCCATGCGACCGGATCATGTCGCGCCTCGGCGCCAACGACAACATCTTCGCCGCGCAGTCGACCTTCTTCGTCGAGCTATCCGAAACGAAGAAGATCCTGGCCGAGGCCACGCCGCGCTCGCTGGTCATCCTCGACGAGCTGGGCCGCGGCACCTCCTCGTACGACGGCGTGGCCGTCGCCCAGGCCGTCCTGCACCACGTGGCCACCCACATCGGCGCCCTGGGCTTCTTCGCCACGCACTACCACTCCCTGGCCGCCGAGTTCGAGCACCACCCGGAGATCGCGCCCAAGCGCATGGCCATCGACGTCGACGAGGCCGAGCGCCGCGTCACCTTCCTGTACAAGCTCGAACCGGGGGTCGCCGAGGGCAGCTTTGGCATGCACTGCGCGTCCATGTGCGGGATCCCCGGCAAGGTGATCGAGCGCGCCGAGGTGGCGGCGAAGCAGTGGGAGCATACGAGTCGGTTGACGGAGAGTCTGGAGCGGAGGAAGGGGAAAGGGGACGGTGCGACGGCCGTTGTGGGGATGGGGTGGTGGAGTGATGTTGCGTGGGCTTTGCGGGAGGATGATGACGCTCGTGTAGTGGAGGAAGGCGAGGTCGGGGTGAGTGAGCGGAGTCTGGAGGTGTTACGACGCGCGATCGAGGCTTTGTAAGGCATCGCGAGTGCGCTTCCCTTCTAAGCTGCTCTTCTATGTCGGAAGATGTACTGTGGCTATGTTCGACGCTCTTACCCTGGTCTTTTCATCGGCTGTTGGGCTTTTATTTTTCGGTGTTCGTGGCGTTCCGTGGGTCTTACTCTGGCAAGTCGGCTGGAGATAAAATTTCTAGGGGAGTTAGTCTACAGAGCGTTTTCGGGTTATATAACTATCAGGTAGCTGACTCTAAGAATATAAGATGGTCTTTCTGAATAGGGACGGGTGTGAATAGTAGGACAGGCAACAAACCCACGCAATTCAAATTCCATTGTTGGACTATCGAAGTCCGGCCAGATGCGCAGGTCTTAATGCTTCCGCGCGGCCCTTCCACTGGTACTTCATAGGTAGATAGGTTAGTATTGTAGGTTGGGAAGTATTGACGGTTGGTTTCCTTACTCAGTTCTCCCTCTACCCATCCGCATCTAACCCACTCGCCTCCAGCCCTCACCGTTGATCTCAGTGCTACTATACCTAGCAGACAACATAAGCTTCACCCTCCAAGCCTTCTCAACCCACAGACCACAACGCAACGAACCAGAATCTACTTCAAAGATCCAGCAGAAGGTGCTAAATCCCCCGGAAGCTGTGATGTGCCATCCCTACACGGATCAAAGACA